CACCTGTACCCTTAAACGACTTGTTTTTCCCCTTCTCCTCCACAAATTATACCTACATCAAATTTACTGAAAGCAGAGGTTATACTGTGGGGGAGGGACATATAAAGCAACAAAGAAATACTCTTATAAGTGCATTAGAAACAAATGCCTGAAAGAAAAAAAACCATTTCAATACATATCTAAGGGTTCATTTTCCTAACATCACATTATCGGAACTTTTCTGCTTGTCTCATACATATACTAGATATTGCAAATAAGGGAAACCATGGGACCTATGTTTCTTTGGGCTTGGCTTACTTCACTTAATATAATTTTTCCAAGCCTTTGCATTTCTTAACAAATGGGGCAATGCCATTCTTTCTGATGGTGGCATAGAATTACATTGTGTATCTATACCACAGTTTCTTGATCCATACATCTACTGAGGGGCATGGGGGTTGGTTCCATATCTTAGCTATGGTAAAAAATGCTACAATAAACATAGTTGTGCTGGTAGCTTTAGTGTGGTCTTGTTTGTAAACATTTGGGTAAATGCCCAAAAGTGGGATTGCTGGGTCATAGAGGAGCTCTATGTGAAGTCTTTTGAGGAACCTCCATATTGTTTTCCAAAGTGGTTGAACAAGTTTACACTCCTACCAACAATGAAGTAAGGTTCCCTTTGGGGCACATCCCCCCTCACATAAGGCTTACAAGCTGGTATCTTTGCCTTTGCCAAAATCAACCATCAATTCTGCTCTTGCCCATTGTTTCCCTCCTTGGAAGCTGCTGAGCTGTGGTTCTATCCACAGCTAAAAGGAAAGCTTAGATATGTAGCTGACCCCAGTATCCTGCTTACCTGAGGCCTCTCACCTTTATTTCACTAAGAAATTTTATGTAAATGTGTTCATTGTTTCTCTAAGATAATGTCTTCCCATGGGTTTGTGCTAAACCTTGTTCATATCTGGAATTCCAGGGGATGCAGCAACTCTGATGGTCATTTTATTTACCCTATCTGAAATCCACTCTAGGCAATTAATTGAATCCAAGCTACTTTGCTTCCCGCCCTCATTTTCTTAGCCCTTCAGGTTTAAGTCATGTGTGAGACTGGCTAGTTTAGTAGAGGATTCCCACGATGAAGACTAAAAAATAATGTTACTCTATCCCAATCCTGCTATGTCTCCTCTGCTCTGTGACTTTGGAGGTTTTTGTTCTTGTATTGTTTTTGTTTTACCTTGGTGCTATTCCTGGTCATTCAGTGTCTGCACACTGGTTTTGAGCTTTTTGGTCAATGTTGTAATCTACCCTTTGGAGCCAAAGATGCATTTCCAGCTTTTTTATTGGTAGATAATTATGGATAAGGGCCTCAATGTCCTTCCTGTCCAGGCTGACTTTGAACTGCAGTGCTCTGATCTCAACTTGGTGAATAGCAAGTATTACAGATAGGAGTCACCAACACCCAGCTCACTCTGTGTATTTTTGTGGTAAGTTTCTCTTCATAGCTGTGCAAACAACTGCACTTCAATCCTTTTGTAAGTTTCCATCCCAGTTGTGATTATAGGCAGGTACTATTGTTGTGACTAACATCCACATAGGACTGCCCTGGAACTCTCATTTCCTCAATCTCCACCTCCTACAGAGCTGGGATGACAGACATCTGCCACCTCAACCAGGCAAGATATCCCAGAAACTTTTTTTTTTACCTAGCCTGAATTTTGAGAAGAATCTTCTTAGTCTTGACTAGGGTTAAAAGGGTTTCCCATTGGTTTTTGGCTTAGACATTTTTTTATATTTCTTCAAAAATATACTGTAATTTGCGGTGGAATAACACTGAATGTGCAGTAACTTTGAGGAATATAGCCACTTTCACAATTTTAATTCTTTTTTATTTGTTATTTTTTATTGTTTTTTTTTTTTTTTTTTTTTTTTTTTTTTTTTTTACTGTACAGAGGGGTTACAATTATATGGGCAAGGTAATGAGTACATTTCTTATCAAGCATTGTTGCCTGCTCCTTTGTTTCCCCTTCCCATCCCATCTCGCCTCCCTTCCCTCCTCACTCCCCCACCATGCCAAAATTATAAAGTTCGTTTTTTGACATAAAGTCTTCTACATCTCATTGTTGCAATGGGTCCACCTGTATCCCTATTAAAACATATTGTTTTTTCTCTTCCCCTCCACAAAATACACCAACATTAAATACAGTGAAAACAGGGGTTATACGATGGGGTGGGACATACAAAGCAACAAAGTATTCATCTTATAAATATGTCAGAAACAATCGGAAGAAAAAAAATTGAATGCTTATCTTGGGGTTCATTTCGCCTAACTTCAACTTATCTGACTGTCTCTGCTTGTCTCAGACATATACTAGTAATTGCAAACAAGGGAAACCATGGGACCTATGTTTCTTTGGGCCTGGCTTACTTCACTTAATATAATTTTTTTCAAGTCTTTAATTTCCTAACAAATGGGGCAATGTCATTCTTTCTAATGGAGGCATAGAATTCCATTGTGTATATATACCACATTTTCTTGATCCATTCATCTACTGAGGGCCATCTGGGTTGGTTCCATATCTTAGCTATGGTAAATAATGCTGCAATAAACATAGTTATTTCTTTCAGACTTTGAACGCAGAGTGTCTTTCCATTTTCCTATCCACTGTCTTGTATCATAGCTTTCCTCTTCATTGTAGAGGTATTTACAGATCTTTTTTAGGTTTATAGTCCTAGGTATTTGTTTTTCTGAAGCCACCATTTGAAGGGATATGTGAAATCAACATTGGGCTCATCTTTAATTTTATTTTAATAGATTAAAAAATAAAGTTTGGTCCTAATAGACAAAAGACAGTTTATGTTTCCAACTCTAAGTAGATTAAGTTGTAAATTTTATTTTTTCTATTACCTTAAGATTTTACTATTGTATATAGTGAAAATGGGTTTCATTATGTTAGTTTTATATGGCCATATAATTATGGCCATATATAATCTTTTGTCTAATTATCCTTTATCCATTACATTTTATTTCCTGTAAAAATTTAAATCATCCTAATGGCCTCTATTACTTTATTCTCCTTCACTCATATGATATTTCCAATGTTTCATATTAGATTTATAAACTGTTTTAAAGTAACAAAAATCTGATAAAACATTTAGTATTTGCTTCTTAATAACCACACAAACACACTCATACAGACACATACACACAGATGCCCCCCCCCCCCACAATACATGGAAGATAGGAAAACCATGACTCAAAGGCCAAATAAAGCCTGATTCCTATGAATAAAGTTTTATTGTCACAAAAATAAAAATATTTTATATGACTACATTTTCCTTTATCCTTCTTATCTCTGTTCTTCTATCTGTTTATGCATGAACTTTTTATTTATATGCATTTAATTTCTCCTTGGCTCCCATCAATCCAATCTTACTTCAACATATAAGTTCAAACATATGCACATTCTTTTCATTACCTCATTTAAGAGAAAAAGTATTTTGTAAGATCACTGAAAACCTAACTCAGAAAAAATTAGCAAGGACTACAAAATAATATGAAAAATCACTGAAACCACATATTTCCCCATTGATTTCTCATTATACAATAAGGGTTCTGCATTTTATTCAATTATATAAACTCAACTCTATTAACGAAATTCCTTAAATAAACAAGGAACATAGTCAAAAATGCAATAGAATCTGATGAGCATTTTGATTATATCTTGATTAATATAATGAGGAAGTTGAAAATTAACATCATGCCACAACAAAAGAATAAGCACACAATATACTTTCCAAACATTGTTTTATTGTCAACTAAAAAATTAATTTATAGAAAGCTATGGCAAGTTACTTAGCCATGTATCTTTTAGAAATGCCATGTAAGAAGTTCAAAATCAGCCTGGGGATGTAAATGTACAAGACTTTTATTTCCAGTAAGAGACCAAATAGCAAGCAATGGAGACATCATTCAAGTGGTAAAGAAACCTGGAGTGAAAACTAAAGGACAGGATAGGCCCTGAGTATAAGAATGTATAAATGAATCAAATTATTATCAGAAAAAAAATGTAAAGAAGTCTTGAACAGAGAAGAAATGAATGCAGTTGTGTCTAAATCTCTTAAATATGTAATTCTGTAAAATAACATGGAGCCCACTAAATCAGCCTATATGAAACAGTAAGTAAAGCTTGCCATATAAAGAGGATTGAAATGGGACAACTAAAAATATTTCCTGTTGGAACAGATCGTAAATAGTGATGATATGACAAAAAATATATTTTTAAAATTCAAATTTTTGGTGTCAAATTAATGTACAGTGATTAATCAATCAAAAATAAAAAAAATCTAGGCAAGAAGGAGCTTACTACTATGTATGACAGACTTTAATCTTAAGAGAAAATTTAAAAAATCTCATATATTGTAACCTTAAATCAAAGTGTATTTTATAGCATACACAAGTTATTCCTAAGCTATATGAGGGTAGCAGCGTGACAGGGAAGAGGATGACAAAGAAGGATATAGAGAGAGACAAAGAAAAAGAGAGACCAGGACAGAGAGTAAGGTCCTATAAGAGAGACTCAGGATAATTTTAAGAGGTGAACGTGTGTGTAGAAATATACAAGTATTGAACAAAATATTTCCTAAGGACAACTTTAAAAGATGTAAATTTGTGAAGAAGAGAATATTAATGAAATGGATTTGAGGAATCTTCAAAATGGTGGTGTGCAGACAGGAAGTTAATATACTGAAAAATTTAGAAGAGTTGTTGAGAAAGACAAGAGTGAAAAGACATTAAGAAGAAGGGATAATAGAATTGAGTGCAGATTGAAAAGGTGGAACCAAATATAGAAGCCAAATTTCAGATTAAATTTTGATCACCATCACTTGTGACTTCCACTGTTAGGAAAATGCACAGTAGATACTTAGTCTTTGAAGTATACATTTCATAATATAAACTATGACAAGAAGAGACAATCACTGTAGAATTAGATCAGACCTTGTGAATACTAATCAAAACTATGTGCTTAATCATAAGAATGCTTATTTCTACTATTATGTCTTTTATCACTGAAGCCATGCAGAGAATTTCTTTTTGGCATTAACAAGATGGTGTAACACTTTGGGACAAAAATGCAGCCTAAGAGTCCTGCACTAGAGGCAAAGATGGAAAAGACTTCTACAGCTACCATGACTTTCCCCTTGGCACTGTGATAGACAGGAAGGAAAGTGAGCCACACGCTGCAGAACACCAACATACTGAAGGTCAGGAACTTGGCTTCATTGAAGGTGTCAGGCAGGTTCCTGGCCAGAAAAGCCATAGTGAAGCTGGCCAGAGCCAGAGAACCCAGGTATCCCAGGACACAGTAGAAGGCAGTGAGGGAGCCCTTGTTGCACAGGATGATGATGTGGCCAGGTTCAGAGTGTGCATCTGTGTCCACAAAGGGAGGAGAACTTCCCAGCCAGAATCCACAAAGTGTCAGTTGGATCAAAGTACAAATAGGGATGATGAAGTTAGGAGCCCCTGATACCAGCAGCCACCTCATCCTTCTTCCTGGGGAAGTGGCCTTGAAAGCCAGAATCACAGTCACAGTCTTGGCCAACACTGTGGAAACAGCCACAGTGAACACAACCCCAAATGTGATCTGCTGCAGGATGCAGGTGACTGTGTTGGGATGGCCAAGAAAGAGCAAGGAACAGAGGAAACAGAAGATGAGGGAGATGAGCAAGATGTAGCTGAGAGCCCTATTATTGGCCTTGACAATGGCAGTGTCATGGTGTTTCCAAAATATTCCAAGAATAATTGCAGTGAGCTTACAAAAGCATAGACCCATGACAACCATAACCATGCCCAAGGGATCTCCAAAAGCCAGGAAACTGGAAGCTCTCAACAAGCACTGAGTCCTCTGTGTGTTGGCATACTGATGATCTGAACACTGCAGACATTTCTCCCTATCTGGTGAGAAAAGTTTACTACCATTACTTACTTTTAATAACCTTGTTTCCTTCAAAGAATTGAGGACACCTTTTACTTTTGTGAAGTCTTCATCTTCTTTCTTTATCTTCTTTTTATTTGGGCTTTTTTCTTAAACTTTTTTTTTCTCAATGACACTCACATGTGTTGATAATGTAACAGTTGAGGTATTGCAATATCTTATTAAAAATTTACACTCTTTCTCATTCTCAAGAGTACTGCATTCATATTAACCTTGGAATTATGCCGCTTACATTACCATACATGTTTCTGTAAGACATTTATTTTACTCTGTGGTATATTACCCTTGATTTGATTTCATTATGTTTCTCTTGCCTGCTCACCTGTTAAGTTGTTGAAACAGATTGATCACCCTTGGACACTCTATAGTCATGCTCACTTCTTTTTTTCTTTCTTTTTTTATTGTGAACATACTGTACAGAGGGGTTACAATTACATGGGCAAGATAATGAATACATTTCTTATCAAGCATTGTAGCCTCCTCCTTTGTTTACCCTTCACATCCCTTCCCAGCCTCCCTGCTCCCGCCCACCTAGTCCTGCCCCCGCCTCCAAATTTGTAAAGTTCATGTTCAACATGACAACATGTACTTCTCATTGTTGCAACGGGTCCACCTGTATCCTTATTTAAACGACTTGTTTTTCTCCTGCCCCTCACTTCTTAAAATGTATTCTAGTTTACTGAACCCTTGCCCCTTGTCAAGAAGAGTGCTTTGCACTGAGAAATAAAGATATGTAAAATTCATGTGGGTAAAATGAAAGATTTGAGATGAACACTCTCCTTATAAGATTTATGTTTAGCTGGGGCCAGTGGCTCAGGACTCTAATCCTATCTACTCAGGAGGCTGAGATCTGAGGATTTTGGTTCAAAGCCAGCCCGGGCAGGAAAGTCCATGAAATTCATGTCCAATAAACACTCAGAAAACTGGGAGTGGCACTGTTGCTCAAGTGGTAGAATGCTCACCTTGAGCTGAAGAGCTGAGGGACAGCGCTGTTGCCCAGAGTTCAAGCCTCACGACTGACAAAAAAAAAAAAAAACAAAACAATAAACCCCGAAGATTTATATTTAATTTCATGTTAGAGTTTAGACTGATCCTAAGGATTAGTGGTAAGAAGGATTCCTGGAGATAACTTTGCCTGCAATATACTGTAAAATTTTACTAAATATGTAATTCAAAGCCATGTTCTATTATATTTCCAGTAGAAATCCACCACTAATCAGAATTTGCTTATTAACAGAAAACAGGACAATGAGCACTGTAATCCTAATACACAGTTTTTGCATTGACTTGTTTGGATTGAGGAATACTAGTGAGAAATAAAAAAATCTTTATAACTCATGGACTCACCTGTCCCATTAGCAATCTCATTTTCTGGGCAAGGTGTACAATCAAAGCAACAGGCAGCCTTTCCCTCCTGAGGAGATTTCCTGAATCCAGGACCACAGCTCTCACTGCAGACAGAGTGAGGAGTCTGAGGAAAGGCAGGGATGTGACAGTAACTGTTCAGAACCATACCAAACACTACAACAATCCATTCCCTTAAAATGGGATGTTTAAGCATAATGTTTTAAGCAAGTGAGTACAGTTGACTTATTTAATTCTCTTATACATTCCGTATTCCATGAGTCCCAAAGGCTATGTGCTTCAATCTTGATTTCTAACCTGTTGAACTACTGGAAGGTATGGGATTTTTAAAAGGTGGAAAGTAGTGGTGAGAACGTAATTTCTAGTGTACTGCCCTATAGGATTTCCTTGAATTCATGTTAGTATATGTTGTCTCCGACTCATCTGTTATATGGGCAAGAGCAAGGAGAAGACCTCTGCTTTCTAGTGTTATGTGAACATCTTATCTTTCCCTTCATTTTCCCATAGCCATGACATTAGAATCTTGTCACAGATGCCTTCAATGATTCCTTTCATCAAAGATATTTAAGTAACAGGTCAACTAACACTTAAATGAATCTCCACAGTAGGGAGTAAAAGAAAATTTTCAACCACATAAATTACCTCATCACATATTTTATCAGTGTTAGAAACCCACGGACAATATTGAAAATCAACATTAAGAAGCAAATTTAACACTTTCGGTTCTCATCCTGCCTCTTGAGCTTGAGGGCTAGGCACTGGAGCTGAGCTATTTTTTGCTCAAGCATAGCACTCTACTAGCCATTGCTCTACTTCCAGATTTTTGGAGGTTAATTGGTGATAAGAGTCTCACAGACTTTTCTGTGTGAGTTTACTCTAATAGTCTCAACTCAGCTCTATTAGACTCTAGCATTATAAGTTAAAGTTGCTTGAACTCAGCCAGGTATATATTTGAAGGGTGATTTTGTTGATTTGTGTGTGCTTAAAATTATTAGGATTAGATTCAACTCACCTCTGTAGTTCCGATTGCCCACTCTACCATATCTTCAGATAAAGACAGTTGATTGCCATGTGGATCATATGGAGAAAACTTTCCTACTTTCACCTCAAGTTCAAGACCCTCTGGAAAATTCCAAATGTTTAGAATATCATACTCTGTCTCCATTTTCCTTTTCTCACCCCAAATCACTTGATCTCCAGTTGGATTATAAAACTTCAGAAAAGTGTGCAGCTAAAAGAAGACAACTTATGGTCAGGTATATCCCAGAGTTAAGACAGAAAACTTGAAATATTAAAAACTCCTTTATTGCCTTTTACTTCTGATTCTGAATTCAGGGATTAGAGACACCTATGGAAGAATAAAAAAATCTTTGTGAAAAAGTAACCTTTTCTGATTACTCAGAAAATGAGTAGGAAGAGGTTTTTTAGAAAAAAAAAATCATTCTGCTACAGCTTGCCCCAACCACTCTTGTGAATATCTATAGTTTGAGCATGCTAAATGTTTAATATCAAAAGTTGATTAAGCTCGGTCACTTATGAAAAACATGAATAATTATTTTCAGCAAGTCAGCCTTTGCTATGACTGAAAAAACTCATAGAGAAATAGCTGAATTTACAGTTTTCAAAACACTGGCTACAAGCATATCAACTTTATTGGTAACTCATGAGTTCATAAGCAGAGTGCTGGTGCCTCAATTTTGTAATCTAGCTAATCAGGAAGCTCAGATCAGAGGATCATGCTCCAAAGCAAGCCTGTGCAAAAAAGTCGGTGAGAATTTTGTCTCCAATTTTGTCTCAGGAAAAGCAGGTAGTAGTGCTGTGCTCAAGTGGTTGAGATGTAGCCTTGAACACAGAATCAGAGACATAGCCCTAGCACTGTATACAAGCCCCTGCACTGGCTAAAATTAATTTATAGAATTAATTTATAGAAGGTGGCTCAGTGGTAGAGTGCTTGCCTTGCATGCCTGAGGCCCTGGGTTTGATTCCTCAGCACCACATAAGCAGAATAAAAGAAAGAAATATGGAATATATTTTATCTTTGCTACTGGCTGTTGTTTTCTTTAGAGCATATCAACATATGTGTAGCATACTTCAAAAATATTGAAAAGTGAAAAATTGCACAGGATATGAAAAGGACCTGAAGTAGTTAAAGGTTTAAGTGTGGATCTATATTTTTTCAATTTTGTACTTCCAATAGTTTCTGATAATAGACAGGAAAAATTTAATGTTTCGTAAAATTATTTAAAATACTGAAACATATACACATTAATATCAGCAACCAAGATATGTATGACACATGAATACAAACATATAGATAGATAGATGTATGCATATACACATATCATATATATAGAGAGAGAAAAACACATTCATACATACAGACATATTTTATTTCATTATAAGACACCTCTCTAGAAAGTGCCTTTGCTCACAGTGTGTGTGTACTCCAACATAGAAGAAATTACCTGCAGAGAGGAAGGCAGTACTCCTTTTCTATTTCCCATTGTTTGAACTTCTGTTTGATGAAGAAGCATCTCATGGAGAGCTTGGGCCACAGTATACACAGCGTTGTATATATTGTAACTATCCACAGACATAGTCATGTCAAAAGTACATGCAGGCAACAAATCCAAAGAGGTATCATGAGCACAGTTGTCCCATGTTACACAGTGAGACTCAGCATCTGAGCAATTAAAAGAGAGAAACCACAGCCTCGCAAGAAAAATGTCTTCTGGGTATTTGGAAGGTTTAACTGTCTTGATAAAATCTGTGAATCCAGAAACATCTACATGATGATGTGTGAAAATAAAAGGTACATGCAATGAGCCTAGCATGAAGTATTTCCTTTTCAGAGTGAAATCCCACTGTGAGTTCACGATACAAACTTTACCATGCATAAATATTTGCTCAATAAATACCATTAAAGCTATCAGGGAATCATTGTCACCATATATGATGAGGACACTTGCTGAAGATAGATTTATCTGGTTATAGACTGCCATGAGTTTGTATATATGTGATGCGTCTTGGGTTGAGATCATTAGCTCATAGGCTACACAAATTTTGTTCTTGGCCATCTCTTCTTTCAATTCAGCAAGAACCCATGCACCATTCTCATCTTGTGTAGTCAATAGTCCCGCCCAGCTCCAGCTGAAGTGAAGCAGCAAGGAGACTATGGCAGTGGCTATTGATGTGTCCTTTGGGGCCATCTGATAGAGAGCAGGAAACTTGTTATGGTCACTCAGGTCATGATCAAAAGGCCCAAAGGTAAACTAAAGGGGAAAAGAATTGGACACTCCATGAATGAGAAGATAGCCATGCATCACAATCACAGCCTTGAATTCTGTAAAGAACTAGTTGAAATGGAAGGAAGGTTTTGTTTTAGTTTAAAAAAAATAATTTAGGGACTGGGAAGGTGGCTCAGTGGTAGAGCACTTGCCTGAGGTCCTGGGTTCGATTCCTCAGCACCACATAAGCAGAAAGAAAAAAGCCGGAAGTGGCGCTGTGGCTCAAGTGGTCGAGTGCTAGCCTTGAGTTGAAGAGCTAAGGGACAGCGCCCAGGCCCAGAGTTCAGGCCCCACGATCTGACCCCCCCCAAAAAATAATTTAATTGGTTTTGAATAATTGTATAACATTTCAATTGACTTGCCAATTGTGTCTTGATATTTGTCACTATTTCCATCAACTTTTCCTATCTATATCAAACTCAGTCACTCCCACGTGCCCACTGAATATTATGTTTCCCCCCTCATCCATTCTCTATTCTTTTGCATTTATTCTTTAACACCTACCCTGCATTTACAAGATATGCTTTGTGTTCATTTTTTACACTGCCAGTAGATCAGAAATGTTGCACCATGGACTTGCATCCCTTTGTATACCACACTTCAGTCAAACTGAAATGTGTGTGTGTGTGTGTGTGTGTGTGTGTGTGCAAATGGCTGTGTTCCATATTTATTTCATAATACATGTTCATATTTTAGATCTAACTTTCACATATGAGACGACACATTTACACTTTCTTGTTCTGAGCTTGATTTACTTCATTCCACATAATATCTTTCGCGTGCGTTTGTGTGTGTGTGTGTTTGTGTGTGTGTGTGTACATACTAGACAATATGGGGCACAAACTCAAGACTTATGCTGTACCAGTGGTGTCACACATTCACCTTGTATTCTTTGCAGGTTAATTGGAGATACAAATTTCCTGATTAGGTAGGATTACTATCAGTACCCTGCTCAGCATATCCTTACATTGTAAAGCCCTTTTCCATTTCCTGGTTAATTAAAGAAAATTTTTGATAAGGCTTGAAAAAGTAAATTATCTAATTATCTGCTCAAATCTTCCATCACTTTTTCCAAACTATAAAAATATATTCCCCACTAATTTTGAGTAGTTACTCCATACCACAAAATTTGATTGGATCATAAGTAGAATCTCTTCCTATCCTTCTCTTCTAACATCTGAACTGCCACCAAATTAGATGTTTTTCTAAAGTTCCACACCTTTTACCCTCACCTGTGGAAATCTGTAGAGTCCTAGCAATGTCCCAATCTGGTCAGATGTTATTCCTGATGGTCCTGTAATTACTGCTATAGACTTGCTGACTCTCATACAGGAGTAGTTTGGAATCTTATACTTCCCAAAAAGAAAAATGAAGGGATTCTTAAACATTGTCCAAGCTCTGAAGTGAACATCATAGATATCAAATCCCAAAGTTAAATTATGTAAAAGATCAGGGTTTTTGTTTATCTCCTCAATAGCAAAAGTCAAGGCCAAAACACACTGATAGTTCTTGAAGATAAACCTGCATAACGAGCAAAGAAATTGAGGTGGAGTATTTCAAAGCTTAAGACTTTGATACATTAAATGCTTGCTTCTTAGCCAATGTATATGTTAAAATATTGCTCCAATTAGAATGGAATGTAAATGTGGTCTCTTATGCTTCCATATAGAATTAGGTATGGACACGAAGGGAATTTGTCATGAATGAGATTCAGATACTTATTTAAGTTGAGGGAGAGTTTATCTCTATTGCCACCTACATCACAGCCGAACCATCACCACCCTTGGTCCTATTCCCCTGGACCCCTCTAGCAAAACCTTGTAATTTCTTGTAACAATCATTAGCTAAACCAACACCCCACCTCTACCTTTCCCCATCCTAGCCAAAAATGCTTAAAAACCAATGTGGACTGGCATGTGGGTCCATTTCCTGGGATTCTGGTACTGGCCCATCAGCACTTTTCACTCAATAAAATCATTTACATTTTCACTGTGGACTGAGTAGTCTCACTGCACATCCACACTACAAGGGGACCCATATCCCATAGGTGTGCACCCATATGCATAATAGCTAATGTCTTAGTAGAATCCATATGTCAATAGAACATGGCAAGGGATGTTTAGGGATCTGAAGATAAAAAATCTAAATTATCCCCCCAGAGTATTATACCTAGCAAAGCTATCCTGTAGAAATGAAGGAAGGACAAAGATTTTCCCAGAGAAGAAGAGTTAAGGGATTCTATCTCCACTAGACTCTTCCTACATTAAATACTAAAATAATTTGTTCAGGCCACAAAACAGAATCATTAATGAACAAGAAAAATACACAAGAATGTATACCCTGTATCCTGTGAACACAATGAAAGTTGAGCACAACAGAAAATGAAGTCACAGAAAATACTGAAACTCATAGAAACTGAGCAATTCATTGCTGAGTTTCAGGAATTCTTTGAAGAGAGAGTGAAGATTTAAGCCTTTATCTTTTGTATAAATGTTTTATTGTAAAGATAGTGTATGGAGGGGTTACAGTTACATGAGTAAAGTAATGAGTACATTTCCTATGGAGCATTGTTACCTCCTCTTTTGATTTTCCCCTACCATCTCTTCTGTCCCCACCCCCCAACTCCTCCCTCCACCCCTGAAGTTGTAAAGTTCGTTTTCAACACAGTGTCTTGTACATCTCATTGTTACAATGGGTTAACCTGTATCCTTATTTCAGCATTTTGTTATTTCACTTCCCCTCAACAGATTAGAGAACTGTATATACAAGATGCAGGGCACCAGAATCAAATACAGTAAAAACAGGGATTATACCATGGGGGAAGAACATACAAAAAAATTCACATAGTATATTATAAATACATTAAAAACAACAGCAAGAAAGATAAAACGCATAAAATATCAACTCCATTGCCCCACAACAATGGCAGTTCTCAGAATACAGTCCGTGATTGTAAGTGTTTGCATCAACCAATTAGAAAACTCTGTCAATACATTAATGGATGCACCTCATAGGCAGAACTGCTACGGAAAGATAGTGGCATCATCACATGTAAACTCCTTTGATGTGTCTGAAAAACAGCTATTTAGATTCCCTGCATCCATTTCACCTCAAGAGATCCACACCAATCAAACTTTAAACAGATAGAGACTCATTCAAATACAGAAGATATCTCACAACAGAAACACAGGAGCAGAAGATAGCAACACAGCATCCAGACCCCTGATGAGTGGCTGCAGCCTAGGCATCTTTCCTTCACAGGAAGCCCAGGGAGACCCAGAAGAACATGCCTGAAGTGCCCCCAGTCTAACATTAAACAGAGAACAGTGTGATGCTGACAAAACCACACAGCAAAACACTTATCCTAGATAAACAAGGAGGGAAACCTAAGCAGACATCTAAATCAGCTTGGAGATCCTCTGGAGAGGCTGCTGCTGCTGCCAAAAATCACAAAGGAGGAGTGACACCATAGGACCAGGGAGGTGGAAACAGGAAAAGGAGATTAAGACTCCCACATCCAGACACAGAGGCCCCTCAAGAAGAATCCTTCTGCCCAGCTCAAAACTGACTCTGGAATCTGTGAGTACCTAATAGGGAAGCCTTCCTTGGAGGACCAATTCCAGGTCTTGATCTAAATAGCCAATAACAAGGCAATTAAAAAGGCAATGAAGTCCTCCCAATCATGAAAAGTCCAGGACCATACAGATTCATAGCTGGAATCTATAAGGTCTTCAAATAGGAACTCACTGTATACTGCTCAAACTCTTCATTGAAATAGAAAGGGAAAGGTCACTGCCAAAGTCATTTTATGAAGGCAGTATACATAACATTTATTCCCAGTCTTCATAAAAGAGAACTATAGACCCATTTCTATGATGGGCGTTGATGCAAAACATCTCAACAAAATCATAAGCAACTGAATTGAACAAGTAAACAAAAAAAATCGTACATATGTTCAAACGGGATTCATTCCAGGATTGAAAACCTGGTTGAATATATGCAAGTCAATTAACATAATTCAACACATTAATTGAGGCAAAGAACCACATGATCATCTCAATATACTCAGAAAAATCATAGCTTTATTATAAAAGCTCTAGAGAAGGTATGAATCCGTGGAACATTCTTCAATATAATAAAGGCTGTTTATGACAGACCTAGAGACAGCATTATACTTAATGAAGAAAATTTAAAACCAATCCCTCTAAAATCAGAATAAGGATGCCTATACTCTCTATTCCTGTTGAACACACTTTTAGATTTCCTAGCAAGAGAAACAAGGCAAGAGAAACAAGGCAAGAGAATCATATAAAGGGGATCCAAATAGGGAAAGAAGTAGTAAACATATTCCTCTTGGTGGATACATTCCTCACCCCAAGCTACTTAATTGATTCAAAAGTTTGGCAAAGGAGACAGGTATAAAATCAAACCACAGGAATCAGTAGCCTTCCTTTGTGCCAACAATGAGAAGTGTGATTCTGAAATCAAGAAAACAATGCCATTTGTAATAGCCTCACAACAATACATAAGAATTAACTTAACCAAAGATGGGAAGGGATTATATTGTGAAAATTTTGAAAACTCTTGTAAAGACATTGAAGCTGACTTAAGGCAGTGGGAAAGCATCTCATGCTCCTGGTTTGGAAGAATTTACATCATGAAAATAGAAATTCTGTCCAGAGCAAAATACAAATCCCATGTAATATCCATTAAAATTCCAGCAACTATCTTCCAATAAATAGAGAAATCAAATAAAAAATTCATATAGAATAATAAAAGATCATGAGTAGCACAAATGAAATCCCTACCAGTTGGAACATTTCTGGAGGAAGATCAATACTAAAGTTGAAGTTTTATTACACAGCCATAGTCATAAAAAACATCTTGAAATTGGCACAAGAATAGGCCTAAAGCCCAATAAAATAGAACAGAAGAAAAAGTAAAAATCCCACAAACATATAGCCACCCAATATTTGATAAGGGAACCAAAAACACAGCTTCCAAGAAAGATCCTCTTACACAAATAGTGCTGGCAAAATTTGCTATCTACACACAGAAAACAGAAGCTATATATCCATATATCACATTGCACCAGAATCAACTCTAAATGGATCAAAGACTTTAATGTCAGACCAGACACTGTGAAAATATTTCAGTAAGGGCTCATGAAACACCTAAGCCTTCAAGCCACAGGGTAAAACAATCTAAACAAAGATCTGGAATCACAACAATTCAAAGGCTGGATAAATGGGACTGTATTAAACTGAAGAGGTTCTGCATAGCAAGGGACATAGTAACCTCCCTTTGTATCACATTTAGAGTAAAATAAAATTATAAGAGAAGAAAGATGAATCAAAACAACATTGAGAATCTACACACTGCAGTTATAATGGTCATTATCAAGAAAACTAACGGTAAGTAATGCAGGCAAGGGATGGGGCCCAAAGGGAACCTTACACTTTTGGTGGGAATGAAATCTGTTCAACCACTCTGGAAAGCGGTATGGACATTCACTAAAAGAATAAGTGTATATTTTCCCTGTGACCCAGCAATACCACTTATTGGCATTTATACTCTAGAACACAAACCAGACCACACTTTAGCCCCAAGCAAAACCATGTTTATTTCACCATGGTTTATTCCAGCCATGATATGGAATCATTCCAGATAGCCCTCTGTGCATCAATAGAATAAGAAAACAAGGTACACACACAAACACACAATGAAAACATATTTATCTATTGAAGGAATGATACTGTATCTTTGGTAAGGAAATGGAAAACCTTACATTAAGCAAAATAAGAAATGTGGGCTATGTTTTCCGTTTGTGGTAACTAGAATGACTAGGATGGCTAGATGGTAACAGTGAATGATTAAAATAAATACATAAATATCATACATATATATGCACAGAGCCTGGGCCATGATAATTTATATAGGATCCTAGACATTAACATACAGCCATGAAAGGTATATATCCATAGGAGTGGTGGACAAGGTCTTATGGGTATGTAAAGATAACTGTATAAAATAATATTCTATGAAATGCACTCCAAGAAAGGAAACAGAAGCTGTTTTTTATTTGCAATTGTTGCTATTCATTTTCTTTACTTTTGTTTGTTTATTATTTTGTATTTTGGAGGGTAATGGAGAGCTTATAAAAAATGGAAAAAGGATGAACAAACTCAACAAAGGTATTCACTAAACACTATGCAGAAAATGAACTGAATATGTTGTGGGTAGCCATGAGCGGGAAAGACAGTGAGAGAATGATGAAAAATAGATGTGAATAAAAAAGAATTGTATTTATTAACCATGTACCTGTAATTCCTCTGAATATCAACTCTACAATAACAATAACATATGATAAATAAATTAAAATAAGCAGGCCCTTCACAAGCAATGAAATTGCATTGGCAATAACAGACTGCCCTCTCAAGAAATGCCCAGCATCTGATGGCTTTAGAGCTGAATTGTAAAAGACCCTTAAAAGAGAATTCTCACCAGTGTCTCCTCAAAGT